GACCCGAGTTCGATTCCCGCTCGCGGCCAACATCGGTGACGATTATCTAAACCGGTCCCGGGCCTCCCGCGGGTCGACAATCGTGCTAATCGGAAGTGTGGAGGAAGGACGACAAACACAAACAGCTGTTCTAAACAAATTAATTCAAATCTAGATGCTTTAAAAGTGCACAGCTCCGGTGGCTTCTTAAATATCGGAAGGAAGAGCGTTCCAGACGGCCGCAGAAGCGCATCTGAAAGCGCGCGATGATCCAGCGACCGTCTCTGTTCGATGGCCATCCGAAAAAGCCGCTACGCGGATGACCGGGGTTTCGCGCAATGGTTTATGCTCCTTGGCGAGATCGTTCGCCGTGAAGGAGAGTTAAGTGTGCTTGGGCAGGGCATATTTCTCAGAAGGGTTGATGGCGATGGAACGGCAGCTGAAGGAAAAAACAGGCGCCCGGAGTAGAGGACCATCGCCCTGGAGATGGGGCGATGAGGAGCTCGCGTGCAGGCGTCACGTGGACTGTGGCGTCGCGGAATCGTCGTGCAGGAGTGGCAAACAGCGGTCGGTGTTTGTCTTCATCCAGCAGTGGAGTGATCGTGGATGTTTATGGAGTGTCATGCTGCAATGAAAAAAAAGAGCGATGTGGACAGATCCCAATGCTGATTACACGTTAAGCGCAGCGGTACAGGGCACTGTTAATAACAATAGTGGTGGATTATTTCAGCACGTGTGCCCGTGCTATTATTACACGTTAATTACAGCATTCTCTTCACTCGTCTCTATTAACAGTGGCACACCTTGGCCTGTTTTTTAGAATGACGTCTTTTACCATACACTTTAATTCCAGCCACCTGCCAATGCTCACACCCAGCTCACCTTTGCCTGGCTTTGGTTTAAAATTGATAACAGAAGGGCGAGGTCTATTCGTCAACTTACAGCAAACTAGTCTCTTCCAACATATTCTTGTTTTTTTCGGTAAAGTCGCGTAGATAGAAAACAAAAATTAAAAGCTAAAAACCCACGACGTTTCAATCGCAACACAAGCGGTCTTCTTCAGGTGGAGAGAAAAGAGGGGGACAAGCCTCCAAATGTAGCTGCTTATGGCTCTTCCAACATATCGCAGTCCTACCACATCAGCCGCAGCGCTCAAAGGTTAATGCATTCGCATAGGCAAGCAAATCATCAGAACTGTTTCACTACTTCCGTGTAGAAATGGTATTATATACGGCCAATGGTTTTCGGACGTTAAGCCAACATTTTTCAAATTATTACAAAACGTGTTAATTCTGGTGTGACTTTTAAATACACGAGACTTTCATTGGACGATTGTGGCTATGCGTGTCTCTAATTCAGTGCTGTGGAGGCGAGGTTTGGTGGATCGCACAAACGTTCAGGAACTCCCCGCCCCCCCCCCCCCCCTGGATGTTGAGGTGCCCTACCCTGGCTACAGTATAGTGCAGACTATCATAACCTGTCCCTTCTGCAGGAGAGAAAGCGTTGCCCCACTAGCACGAGTGGGTTTTTGTCCGGGGTTTTTCCGGTTTCCTCCCACATGCATAAAACAACTTAATATATGCAGGACTGCAGAGCTTTGGCAATTGTTGGCACCGACTCACTGCGTGACTGCCTTCCAGCTTGCGTGTGGTTGCTTGGTGACGTCGAAATGCCATTTGCATGAACGACGATGCTTTAGAAAACGAAACGTTACGTTAATACTCGTGTGTGCCCTTCGTTGACTTAGAGTGACGTACAGCGGTTTTTAAAAAAAAAATATTTCACGTGATTATGTACGAAGCACGAGTTAGCCTTGATAGCCACTCGTTAAATGTTTTATTTCAAATAGTGAGGCTCGCTTGTCCCCAAACTAATGTGTGTGTGTCCAAGAAATTACATCAAAAACGTGACACAAACAATTGATATTGCCTTCATGTCTGTGTCTGTTCCCGTTGGGACTTCCAAACCCTAATGTGTTCTGTTAGACTTTCAGATTGTCTTTCTGTCAACATGTCCGTGTCCAATCGTGTCTGTCGAAGATATCGCTTGAGCCGAATGATCCATTTCAACGGACAGTTTTAAAGGATGCTCCAGCCGTACAACATCTCACGATGAGATCGATTTTTGGGTCAGACAGTCAGAGGTCAAGTTCACGGTGATCCTAAGTGCTGTCACGGGGAAATGGGTTTCAAAGCACCGGTCGTATCTTGTAATTGGAGATTTAGTGGCTGCATTACACCCAAATCTATTGAGCTGAATTTCATCTGCTTGCAATTTGACATAATTCATCGCAGCAGAGATTGGCATGCAGCCTTTCTGAGAGCATCAATAAATAATCAGTAGGTATGCATAGAGCTTGCGAGCACGGAATTCATTTTAACATCGGCAGCACTTAAATTAACACTCTGCATGCACGGTCACACGTTGCCTATAATTATGTTTTTTAAGAGGACAAAATAGGGTGGAGTATTTTCTACGTTCATTCAGCAATTAAAACAAGCGACAAGACAGCCTCTGTCCCAAAACAGAATATATTTGGCCCTTTATCGATCACAATCCCGAAAGCCGCACAGCGTGAACATTAGCCGTGTCTTCTTTGAAAGCCGCTGCTGAGAATGCTTTGTGTAAGACCATCACAATATATACAGTGAGGGAAAAAAGTATTTGATCCCCTGCTGATTTTGTACGTTTGCCCATTGACAAAGAAATGATCAGTCTGTAATTTTAATGGTAGGTTTATTTGAACAGTGAGAGACAGGATAACAATAACAAAATCCAGAAAAACGCATGTCAAAAATGTTATAAATTGATTTGCATTTTAATAAGGGAAATAAGTATTTGACCCCTCTGCAAAACATGACTTAGTACTTGGTGGCAAAACCCTTGTTGGCAAGCACAGAGGTCAGACGTTTCTTGTAGTTGGCCACCAGGTTTGCACACATCTCAGGAGGGATTTTGTCCCACTCCTCTTTGCAGATCTTCTCCAAGTCATTAAGGTTTCGAGGCTGACGTTTGGCAACTCGAACCTTCAGCTCCCTCCACAGTTTTTCTATGGGATTAAGGTCTGGAGACTGGCTAGGCCACTTCAGGACCTTAATGTGCTTCTTCTTGAGCCACTTCTTTGTTGCCTTGGCCGCGTGTGTTGGGTCATTGTCATGCTGGAATACCCATCCACGACCCATTTTCAATGCCTTGGCTGAGGGAAGGAGGGTCTCACCCAATATTTGACGGTACATGGCCCCGTCCATCGTCCCTTTGATGCGGTGAAGTTGTCCTGTCCCCTTAGCAGAAAAACACCCCCAAAGCATAATGTTTCCACCTCCATGTTTGACGGTGGAGATGGTGTTCTTGGGGTCATAGGCAGCATTCCTCCTCCTCCTCCAAACATGGCGAGTTGAGTTGATGCCAAAGAGCTCCATTTTGGTCTCATCTGACCACAACACTTTCACCCAGTTGTCCTCTGAATCATTCAGATGTTCATTGGCAAACTTCGGACGGGCATGTATATGTGCTTTCTTGAGCAGGGGGATCTTGCGGGCACTGCAGGATTTCAGTCCTTCACGGCGTAGTGTGTTACCAATTGTTTTCTTGGTGACTATGGTCCCAGCTACCTTGAGATCATCGACAAGATCCTCCCGTGTAGTTCTGGGCTGATTCCTTACCGTTCTCATGATCATTGCAACTCCACGAAATGAGATCTTGCATGGAACACCGGGCCAAGGGAGATTGACAGTTCTTTTGTGTTTCTTCCATTTGCGAATAATCGAACCAACTGCTGTCACCTTCTCACCAAGCTGCTTGGCAATGATCTTGTAGCCCATTCCAGCCTTGTGTAGGTCTACAATCTTGTCCCTGACATCTTTGGAGAGCTCTTTGGTCTTGGCCATGGTGGAGAGTTTGGGATCTGATTGAATGATTGCTTCTTGGGACAGGTGTCTTTTATATAGGTAACAAGCTGAGATTAGGAGCACTCCCTTTAAGAGTGCGCTCCTAATCTCAGCTCGTTATCTGTATAAAAGACACCTGGGAGCCAAATATCTTTCTGATTGAGAGGGGGTCAAATACTTATTTCCCTTATTAAAATGCAAATCAATTTATAACATTTGTGACATGCGTTTTTCTGGAGTTTGTTGTTATAATTCTGTCTCTCACTGTTCAAATAAACCTACCATTAAAATTATAGACTGATCATTTCTTTGTCAGTGGGCAAACGTACAAAATCAGCAGGGGATCAACTACTTTTTTCCCCTCACTGTATTTTGTAAATTACCTTTCCTATACTTTACACTCCGATCGTGTTTTTTTTTTGTGTGCTGCGTGTGTCACATTTTGACCCGCCCCTACTGAAACATCTGCGAAACATAGCTCATCGGATTCCTCCAATATGAAATAAAAAATTCTGATTCTGACGTGTAAAGGCGCAGCCGTGCAGTTGCTCTGCTGGCAGAAGGGTCGCCACGAGGGCACATTTTAGAGAGCCCCTCGAGAAGACATTTGGCCTACTTTCCCGGGGTGGCCAGGCGTCTTGGAAGAGGTGGTGGTGGTGGTACCCACACTTTACCCCACCACACGTGACCTGGCGATCGATCAACTGTGGTTGTTGTTGGCCCATCACGCTGCTGGGTGGATAGAGGCGGCGGGGGGGGTGCGGAGGCGGATTTAAGAAACCAGCGACGTTGTTTTGACAGACCGCGCCGTGCCGTGTGCTGGCCATGACACCACGGGGTTGTAGGGTGCTGGCCTGTGAGCCAGCACTCGTGGTGTGTGAAGTTAAACTGCAGGTTCCCCTCGCTTTTCGCGGTAGGAGATGCATTCCAAGAAAAATGGCGCGCGAAGGGAAATCGCACGTGGAGGCATCTGCCTACCGAGTAGCGCACACAGTACACACAGTACGCATACACAACACACACAGTACACACACAGCACACATACACAGCACACACCGTACGCACACAGTACACACAGTACGCATACACAACACACACAGTACACACACAGCACACATACACAGCACACACCGTACGCACACAGTACACACAGTACGCACACACAACACAGTACACACACAGTACACATACACAACACACAGTACGCACACAGTACAGACACAATATTGTCCAACAGTCCGATCGCGTAGCAATGTTGGGTGATGTTTTGGGCAATAGCACTGCTCCGCAGCACATAGGAAGGCCTGTGAGGCAGAGTACTGTGATATTCTACCTAATCAAATCATAAAACTTTTCAAATACATTCATCATACGTATAAAAGAAGGTACACGCCTATAAAATCTGGTACGCATACGTACGGTCATACATGTTTAACAAATCAATAAAAAATGTAGCCACTGATGCTAAAAATAATCACACTCAGGCTTTGAACTTTCAGAAGTTCCACCATTTTTGCTGCTTTAATCATGAGGGAGAATAAGTGTTGCCTTTAGGGGTTGCAGGGTTGAAATGAAATCACTCAATTTCTGAGGCCATTATTCATTTTGTACATGGAGTTGAACCATTTTAAAGGCCCCTTCCACATGTTTTAATGATGACAGCACTGCGATGCATCCCTTCAGAGAACACTGTGGGTAGTAAAAAGAAGAGTTAGGTAACAAGCTGAGCAAATACGTTCAACACCAAATCAATTGGCGGCTGCCAGTCAGGCAGCGTTGCGTGAAAAGTCCCCACAATTGCAAGTGGTAGCTCTACTTTTTCACTTTAATTTGCACTCAAAACTACAAAATAAATTATTTTCACCCCAGAAATGAATAAAATTGAATTTTCTGAATAAAAGTGGGTGGCTTCCCTTCGGTATCTTTCATTTTCTTCATACAAGCCACCCACTTGTATTCAGCACATCAAATGTAATGAATTTTTGGGGTGAAAACATTTTATTTTCTACTTTTGAGTGCAAATAAAAGCGTGTGCATTAAAAAACTTGTTTTCTTTTACCATTATTTTTTTTCCCCTTCCGAGCCAGAGATCTAACAACAACAACAAAACCCAAGGGAGACAAAACCGTGCACGCGCACGGATACTTTCGCCTTTTCCCCCGACGCGTGCAGGCGTTCGACGAGCAATGACGACGTGAGTGCTCCCAAGCACGCGCGACGAGGGTCGCGTCACACAGCAACTGCGCGACCGTCACGCGCGCGCGCGTGCACCGGGAACCAATGCGCGTGCAGCACCGGGAACCAATGCGCGTGCAGCACCGTCACGCGCGCGCGTGCACCACCGGGAAGCAATGCGCGTGCAGCACCGGGAAGCAACGCGCGTGCAGCACCGGGAAGCAACGCGCGTACAGGTGCGAGGTTCAGTTTGTTCTACCCAGGAGAGGGCTCAGGGAGAATCAAGTGTTTTTTGTTTTGTTTTACAAGAAGTCGAACCCCGTGTCGCCGTGGTGACAGATGACCCCCGTTGGCATGGCGGCGAGGAGATGAGCGTTGCCCCTCGACCGTTACGGCGCAAACACCAAGACAATTGTTGTTGTTGTTGTTTTTGCCAATCTCCCCTAAGGCAGACTACGTCCCCTATAGCGTCACAACTTAACGCTAAAGATGCGTTCATGTTGGATCACCTTGTGCCCCTGCCCCCCGCAGCTCGAACGCCGGACGAAAGAGACGGTGGGGCATTTAAGTGTCTCTTAAAAGTCGGTTGCGTATTGAACGCTGCTGCTGCTGCTGCAAATGAGCAGCAGCAGCAGCGTGACGGCGGTCCAGACGGCGGTGGGTGCCAGGCTGACTACGGCCCTGCCCCTTGGTGTAGCGAGGAAGAGGAGGAGGAGAGAGGGCTTGCGAGTCGCACTGCTGCCGGCAGTTCTCCAATGAGCTGTAGTGCAGGGAGACAGCGGAGCGACGGCAGACGGGGTGGACAACCGAAAGCGGAGGCGCGGTGGACGATCTTGTAGCTGACCCTGCTGGCGATGGGAAGTCAGTCTTCTTCTTTCGTATGGCCGATGTAGATGCAGAGCAACCACTACAACGTCACATTCAGGTGGTCAAGCCAGACAACCGCGCCAGGCGCAGCGGAGTTGTATCGCCGTGATGTCTCCTTCGTATTTGTGGATCGGGGCATTGCGTCATTACACGTTGCGCGGCCCGTTCTGGACGACCACAGTCGCACACCGCTGGAGAGTTTTTAATTTTCCATTTGTGCATCAGGTATCCGCAACTGCCATGGTTTGTGCAGTGGATGCGGTTCAGGGTGGACAGTGAGCTTCGTGGAAGATCAAACCCAGGGATCTTCAGGGGGAAGTCACTGGAGGGAGGCGAGGAAATCTATCCAAGGATGACAGGCGCAGAGGACGATATGGGCGAGATGGTGTTGCAACCTTCGGCCTTTCTTGAGGTTTACTCGATGAAGATCGAACAAGAACGGAAATGTAATAGTCTGAGGCGGGACCCGACGAGCTACAGTATCGGCGATATCTGCGGTGATGATTCCTGTAGTGATGAGTGGACGTAAATGACGGCGGGACTCTGAGGTGGTAGTTGCCAAAGGATAAGGTGGAGTCGAGAGTGATGTCAAGGAACTCCGAGGAGCTTGATGTGCTTGGTGAATGTACACAAATTAGTCGATCAGGACTGGGTGAGAGAGGACACTTACATTTTAGCATCGATTCAAAAAGATGGCCCGCCTGGGTTGCAATTTTAATTTAAAGTCAACCGTGATGTAATTGGCTTCCCTACAAGGGGCTTTGCTGCCTCTGTAGGGAGTCCAATTCTCTGGTGCACGCTCAGTCACATACATTCAATCAGTGCACGATTAAATTTTTGATTTAAAGCTTTCGTGACTACAGGGATTCATATTCTTGGTTCTTTCGGTAAAATTATTTTATTGTTTCCCTTCTACGTGACTTTACCGAAAGAACCAATAATATATAGTGCACGATTAGTTCATCACACAAAAATTGCAACCTCCTCATGGGTCACAATGTCTGTCATAATCACAATAATAATAATAATGCCCTGTACTTATGCTGGAAAGCTTCACCGAGGCTCAATACTGTTTATCAACAGATTGCTGAATTGGGATGTGTGGGCAATTCCACTAAAGGAGAGGTTGGCTCCTGGGAGCAAACTGGAGAATCCTGTAGAAAATCTACGTACGGTGTACGAGGGGGAGGCTCTCAAAGCTCCCCACAGATTTAGTCAATTTCTATACTGCCATAGTCTGGTCACCTCGCAGCCCGAGCCTGCAAAATCGCTGTTTCCATCCCAAGTAAGAGCCAGGCTCATCTATGCTTAGCGTCTATAATATGATGAGCTAATGTGCATTCATATGGCCATAGGCATTCAAAGTTATATAATTGTGATTTGTGAACCACTTTCATATGATGTGTAATGTACGGTTGATTTGATCAATCCCTGATTTTTTTTATATTGTTATATTAGACCATCAAAAAAGTGTGGCCCCCCAGGTACAGTCCATAGCATTTCTCATTCTTATAGGGAATGGGGACCTGTCAACAGAAATTGATCTTTTCTAAAATTAGGGCCTCTCATATTGTGCCGCACTAGCTTAAGTCACCTGTTCAAAGTGCTGATCTGGTGCAATCAATCACCGACACAGGGAAAGAGATCCTCATTTCGGTTGCAACAACACACAGCTGGATCATGCTTTTCTTTTTTAAAGCGCTACAATTTGGCTTTCTTAAAAATATGACAATTTGTTTCACTCATGCGTCGGTAGCACTCACAAGTGTTGTGACCCACAGTTACAATTTTAATTAGAGACCAGGGCATTTTAATTAGCGATATCTCATTAAAACGCGTAGAGCAATTAAGGAAGAAGAGAAATTAAAGAGAGGAATATGACTTTTCCTAATGTGTAAAAATATTATCATTTCCTCTGGGACGTAGGCTGCCATTGAGCATAACTCCTCAGTGCAGTGTGTGGCAATTTATTAAAGCCCGTACGTGATTATGATCAGTGGCGTAGCCGTTGAGTGCACAAGCAGTGCAAGTTGGGGTTGGGGTACGAGAGCAACAAAAAAAACATGGACATATCATGGGAATAATAGTATCTCATAATACTGGAACAGCGAGAGACCTACATATAGCATGTGAATGCATCGTGCAACTTGAGAGGTGTATTTTTATGCAATTGACAAAAATCGGGACTCTTAATGTCCCGGGAAGACTTACGGATGTTCACAGGACAGTGGCTATCCCAAGAAGAGAATGAACCTGAGAAAATCAGGACAGGTGGAAAGCCAAGTGCAAGTGCCCATGGGCTGGAGGGGCCTCGGCTGTGATGGGGGTCCCCGTTTCGTTCCTAGCACATGGGGCTCGTACTATCCACGCTGTGCCACCGGTGATTGCCATTATACTTCTTTCTTGACAATATTGAAACCCATATTCTTGGTTCTTTCGGTAAAGTCACGTAGAAGGGAAACAGTAAAATAAAATAAAAAATATAAAACAATAACATTCTCACAGTGAGAATATGAATCCCAGCAGTCACGAAAGCTTTAAATCAAAATTTAATATTCAAACCCATTTAACATTCTCAGACGTACCTCTTTCACAGTCGCTTACATCAGATCCACCACTCGAGCGGACTTTTCCATCACAAACATAGATCTAACAAAATAGTAACTGTTGCTGTTGTTGCATGCATACTGGTTTGGAGCACAGCCTGGAACAAATTAGGAAAAACAATATCCATGAGATGTTATGTTGAATATCCATATGGAAAAACACTGTGGAACATTAATGACTGAATTTAATTAATAATTAAACATACTGCAGTTGCTATCATCAGTAAAATCCCGACAGTCGTTGACGTGCATGACAAACCTCTGTGTTTATTGCCATGTGCTTGATATTCCTGGATTAAGATTACGACTGCCATGACTCACATTGGTTGAAGTATAAAATGGCAAAGGCAAGAAAACAAACACTTTCACATCACGCATTGAATTGCAAGGACAAAGATAGGCAGCAGACAAATTAGCCTGCCTGCAGAAAGTCAATATACACAAAACTAGTTTTTGCAATGTGCATTATCCCCTAGTGGATTAAATCAATGAAAACTTGGCTATAAATGGCGTTAACTAGGTCTTAAAGACTCATTCTCATTGCCACGTGAGCGTTTTGTTTAATGATGTCTGGAGCCTTGTGGCAATGCACACTCACAGCCTTGAATGATGAGATATCCGTCACAGAAAAATTCCAGTCCTGATTAACCTTTTGTCTAATCGTCTATATCTAGCTTCATTTAAAATATAAATGTAACAGTTTGGATTATATATAGCACATGTTGCCATAAATATTATTTTACTCGCATAGCAGCAATAAAAAATATCTAGTTTTCAGTGTCTTGTGACATGTATTTTATATTTTAAAGGACAACATCCTGTCGTATAAATTAATCTGTGTAGTGGGTGAACTGAATTTTTTTTATTTTAAGCTCTAAATATTTCTCATTATAGAGATGCTGCAATAGCAGCAATAATTTACTTTGTGCTCACATTTTTATATTACGGTGCCTTGGCCAGCCCAATAAAAAAAAAACCTGATGTTTCACAAATTCTGGCATCTCATATCTCTAAACATTTTCATTGCATTCCAATTGACGCTGAAGCTAAAATAATTAATTATTTACGACCTTTTTGGGTTTTACACAGTGGCTGAGCAAAGGGCCCAAAAGTTCACAAACGTCAAGCGGCCAGCAATGAATGATTGCGTAACACGTTTCTTGAATCGAGTGAGGTTATTATTATTCTAAGAGCTTGGGTAAACCCGATTATGGGAAGCAATTCCAACGTGGATCAGTGCGAGGGAGGCAGCAGGAACAGAAGCGTTGTGACCTGCGCTGCGGTGGTTGAACTCCAGGATGGATGAGACGAAGCAGTCACTCTGGTAGACCGAGTCCTGAATATTGGTGGAATCAATGCACTGTTGTATGAAGGCCTCCTCAAACCATGCTGGTCATTCGTATTGTCCGACCATACTTCACCACGCTAGTCAGTGATGGTTGGGGGAAGGGGAGAAGGAACCGGTTCAGATATCATTCGTCGCTGATGGTAGTCCTGGCCGGCAGTCAAACTCAGGTACACCAGTTTCATAGGGCATTCCGCTAAC